TTGAATTTTTTTTTGGGTTTATAGTTTAGGATTTATTAGGAGTGTTTTTTATATTATATGGGGGTGCAAGACATGCTAAGTTGTACACATCAATGCCTAGGGACAAAGATGGATATCACTGGCTTACAGGACGGGTTGATGATGTTATCAATGTCAGGTATTTTTTGGATTCCATAAGCTTTGCCCATATAATTTTTTATGTTTTATGTGTATGAGTGAGCTAAATGTAGTAATAGGATTGTTAATGTGTAGATTTCTAAGGATTTTAAATTATGATATTCCCCTCCTTAACTTCCTCTACGCAAGTATCTTTGCATCTTGTTGTAATTTCGAAGACCGCAATTGATGTTTATTGTCTATGCTCAATAATAATACCATAATGTGTGCAGTGGACATCGTATTGGTACAGCAGAAGTGGAATCTGCTCTGGTATCACATCCCCAGTGTGCTGAAGCTGCTGTGGTTGGCGTTGAGCATGAGGTATGTGATGCAGAACCCAGAAAGAGAAAAGGGAAAATACTGAAGTGAACAGACTAAAAACAGCAGATGCTTGTGGCTAGTATGCATGTCTGAGCAAAATTGCTTTCTTGCTGTAGGTTAAAGGACAAGGTATATATGCCTTTGTTACTCTTGTGGAGGGTGTACCTTACAGCGAAGAACTCCGGAAAAGCCTTATACTGAATGTCAGAAAGCAGGTATATATCTAGTTCTGCATTTAAGTTTACTGCATCTTGTTACTTGTGATGCTACGGTACTCCAGCTGGTATTAGGGCTACGTTGTACACTTGCATAGAATTCTTGAAGACTTATTCTTACCCCATAGTGCCATGCCATCATACCCCTGGATGGTGTCAGGATTATGCAGATAAAAATAAATTTATTTTTAAAAAGGTGGTATTTTTCACATATGATAATGATATCTTCTGAAACTATATTTGAATTGGCTGACATGTCGTTCAGCCTGGAAACCTTGTAATGAATCGCACTTTCAGTCTTCTTGTTTGGATGTACCTTCCATATGCTATTGATGAGTAGCCACAAGTATGTAAAATTCTTATATACATTTTTCAGATAGGAGCATTTGCAGCACCGGACAAAGTCCACTGGGCCCCTGGCCTTCCAAAAACAAGGAGTGGGAAGATAATGAGGAGGATTCTGAGGAAAATTGCTTCTAGACAGTTAGATGAGCTTGGTGACACCAGCACTCTTGCAGATCCAAATGTGGTCGAACAACTTATTGCTCTCGCAGATGTGTAGACTCTGGTTTGGACTCGCACTCTCCAAAAATGATCAATTGCATCTGATTAGGCAGTAGAACTACTTAGACATTTTGGTTCCGTTTTAAACCTCAAAAAAATGATGCACGAAGGTTCTGTTTCCCATAACTTCTTACAGCGTACTCAGCACATTATATGAATGTCCTCCTTTAAGAGCAAGTCCAGCAGAGGGTTTTGGGAGAAAAAGGGCCTCCAGCAGCAAGGGTTAGGCCGAGTTGCTTGTGGGGGCCACGAAGTCAGGCTGGCCTGAGGGCAGGTCCAGCCCCAGATCCAAAACTCGGGGGGCTGACGTCAGCAACAAAAAAAAATTGAAAAAAATTCAGATTTAAAAAAAAATAAATACTTAGTCATATTTTTCACTTCCCACACCAAAAATCTTTTTAAAAAAATAATGTCCAAATTAATTGTTTAGGTAAACAAATATGTGAAAAAAACAAAAAAATGAATAGTATTTGTCCTAAACTAGGGCAACTGCTGGAAATCAACATTGCTTTTTGTAAGGGCAGCCACTATTCACATGAATAGTGGCTGCCCTAGTCCCCCCCTTGCCATGGCTAAGGGCAATTGGTGGAATTGCTCTAACTAATGTTTCGATAAACTACGGATTATGGATAGGCCACGTTTAGAATTGCTTAGGTAGAAAGTATTTCTGTTTCTAGCAATGTATTTCTGCTGATAAGCGCCTTTGCTAGAAACGTTTTTAATAGAAGCACGTCAAGTGGCATAGTATAGCTATGTTGTACACTGATGCACCTCGATGCCTGCGCAGCCTGAAGCACGATTGGGCTTTAATATAAAGGTGGTCCGTGGACATGGTATGCCTCGGCACCAAGATGGCATGGGTAGTTAGTCTATGTCGGCTAGCTGCTCTTCTTCTATAAAAGCCAACACAAATTCTTTGTAGAATTGAAATTTCGAGAAGTGAGAAACTTATTACGAAATAAGGATGAGCTATTGTAGAACAATGAAAGTTTATGAAGTTGAGATTTGAGAGGAATAAATTTGGTCAGAGATGGGTGAAAATGAAAATACGACATGAGTTGGATTTCCTGTCTGCAAAACTCTCTCGACTATGTCCATTATTTTTGACACATGCCCTTCTCCTTTTTCTCTATATATTTTTTATAATTTTGTATACAAGCGATGTTGGATGTGGGGATTCGAACACACATGGACGGATCCAGAATTTGAAAATAAGATGGGATAAATTTACCTTACATACAAACCTACTAAAAGATAGAAAACTTGACCGTACAAGTGAATTGCATTGATAACAAGAAGTTCCAAATTTATAATTAAAAAACTTTAAACCTATGTAAATCTAGCAACATAAAAAAAATTGAAATATAAATTTGAAGGTCAATTATAGCAATTACACTTTTCCCTGAAAGGAAAAAAAAAATTGAAAGCATTTATCCATTACAGAAGAAGAAGAAAAAAAACTGAAACATTTTAGTCCATCTAGCCATTCAAGCCAACTTGAAAAATAAAAATGAAAAGAAGGTATTCAAGCCAAGGTAAAGGATTTTCTATGTCGTATGGAGTCATCACTTTGGCCAACACTTTACCCCTTACGGGCCGACCTGGTGTGAGCGGGGATTAGTCTGGGTTGTGGTTAAGGCTTAAAGGTGCCACCCATAGTTGGGGCCCATCCAGGACAACCTCATGGTTCAGACAAAAAAAAAAAAGGATTTTCTATGAGGGAATGAAATGAGTGTTTTCTGAAAAGGGGTATGTGTCACATGTGTGACGTTAGTTTATGTTTTTCTTTCTATTAGACTTGTAGGTTTAGTTAACTAAAGAAAAAAAAAAATGAGATTTTATGTGGGTGGGATGGGGGTGTGTGCCCGTGTGGGGTGAAAAAAATCAAGTCACCTAGGCTATAGCCCAGGTTAATTTATGAAATTAATTAAAAAAACTTAAATGCTAATTATTCATTAAATAAAGAACAATTAAAACATAAATAATAATTAATATAATTAAATAAGGCTAAGATATTACTTAAGTGTAAATATTAAACTAAACAAACTAATTTTGAATAAGAAAATATAAAAACAAAGTCCACAAAATAATTAAAATTAATTCAATAATTTATGAAATTAGTAAAATATTTAAATACTAATTATTCACTAAAAAATAATAATTAAAATATAATTACTAATTAAAGTAATGGAAAAAGGCTACCATGTTGTGCAGTATAGCCACCTTGCTATGCATTTAAAATATATAATATATATTCGAATGATTTAACAAAAGATTCTATAGAAGGTACGAACCTTGATGGATGCATTTGCTGTAATGCTACAAATTCCACAAAATACGTAATTCCGCTTCACTCCTACAGTAAAAGGTATTATTTCCTCATCTCTGTGTGTTATCTATTGGTAAAGAAACACAAATAAAATGTAAGGTCCATTTCTAATGTAGAGAGTTAAAGAATTAGTTTAGTTTGGGGGATTTTCAGGTTTGAATATCTGCAAAGGATATTAGCCAAGGAATTTCAGTTTGGGGGATTTCCAGGTGGAGTAGTCTAGGTACGCAGATGGTTGGTGAATAATAAGTTCAGTTTGGGGGATTTTCATGCCCTTATCTATATATTTTCCATGGAACCTGCAGTCTCATAAATTGACATGCTTCCATTCCTCGAAATGTAATTATATCATTATTCACGGTTAAAGGAAAATGTTAATCTATTATGAGCTCTCTGATAGAGATTTAGATATCAGAGAAATAATGCTTTAATGATTTCAAATCACCATTCTTGTTTTTAGTGGTTCTCGTGTTGTGATCATATTTCTTTTTTCTTTAATGAAGCCAGTAAACTTAACTTCATTACTTCAGTCACCATGAAAGTTAAAATTTATTTACTCTTTACTCCAAAACTTTCCCAAGTAACATGAAATGTAAATGAGATCCTGCTTGATTAAATTAACACCGATTTATTGACAAAAACAAGCAACTCAGCATGCACACCGTCACATATAAGCATGTACAGAAAAATTGAAGTAGGAATTTGAAGGTCAGTTATAGCAATTACACGATAAATTTGAAGGTCAGCTATAGCAATTACACGATAAACTTTTCCCTGCAAGGAAAAAAATTGAAAGCATTTATCCGTTACAAAAGAAGAAGAAAAAAAAAGAACCATTTTAGTCCATCTAGCCATTCAAGCCAACTTGGAAAATAAAAATAAAAAGAAGGTATTCAAGCCAAAGTAAAGGATTTTCTCTGAGGGAATGAAATGAGTGTTTTCTAAAAGGGGGTATGTGTCACGTGTGAGGTTAGTTTACGTTTTCTTTATATCATACTTGTGGGGTTAGTTAACTAAAGAAAAAAATATGAGATTTTCTGTGAGTGGGATTGATGTGTGTGTGTCCATGCGGAGTGTAAAAAATAAAGTCACCTAGGCTGACTTTTAACTTTGGGCTATAAAAAATCAAGTCACCTAGGCTATAGCCGAGGTTAGCCTTGACGTAGGATCGTTCCTGCAAACACAAGACCTTGAGTGTAGGAATAACTGCTCTTAATCATTTGAACGATAAACCCTTTGCAAAAAAGAAAAATTCTCGAGAAAACATGAAGAAGAGGGCGAAAAAAAAAAACCCAAAGCTACAATCATCTCCTTTTTGCTCGACTCAAACTATTGTATAATCTACACACTGTTAAGAAGTCTTGATTTCTAAAGGGTAACTACACACGTCTTTAAGAAAACTCATAAGAAAGAAAACATGAAGAAGTTACCGCAGGATGAATGGACGTAGGACTGAAGAAGTTAAAAACCAAGAGGAAATACAGACTGCCCCGGAATAATAATTAACATATCATCATTGGTCAGGCGAAACCGGGCTCGAAGAAGTCTCAAGCCTTTGTAATAGTCAAAGGGAGACTAAAAACTGAAAGCGAAAACCCTAGACGCCACAGAACTTTCGGTCGCAATATTTAACAAGGTTCGTTTTTATTACCGATTATCACCATAGCTTCTTTCCCTGCTTGATTTCTCTATATTAAATGGTAGTTGATTGTGTTGAATTTGGGGAGGGTTTCTTTTTCTCATAGCTGTCTTCAACTACGATTCGATTGCAGAGAAAGTTTATCAGCTCATCTTCTAAAATATGATTTTTTGGAACATCTTTTACAATGCGATTAGGTCGTAATTGAAACAAAGTTAGATATTTAGGTTGAGACGGAGCTGTTGGGAGCAATATTTGGACAATGGTATTTCGTGTCCTTTGGTCCAAAACAAGACCCAATATGTTTGATTTTAGAGGTTCTGTCCTACATTAATTTTTGTAGTTCACTCAAGTGGTAATTTCAGTTCATATTAAGAAACTTGGCTTTTTTAATTTTTAATATAGGATATTTACGGAAGTTGGAGTATGGATAATTCATAATTTGAGTAAATATATATGGCCACATGAACTTAAAAAAATGCTTCTATGTCCATTTTTTGTTTACTCTTTTTTATTGATTATTAGAATTTTCTTATTTTCTTATTTTATTAGAGCTCTCATTTGAACTAACTTTCAATTGGAGTGCAATTGAATGATATATGTAGGCTATATTGTTGTTTTTGTTCTGTCAACAGTAAACTCGCAATGGCAGATGCTCATGAATCAGATAAGAACATTGAGATATGGAAGATCAAGAAATTGATCAAGGCATTGGAATCTGCAAGAGGCAATGGCACCAGTATGATATCTCTTATAATGCCTCCACGTGATCAAATTTCTCGGGTCACTAAGATGCTGGGTGATGAATTTGGAACTGCTTCAAACATCAAAAGCAGGGTCAACCGTCAGTCCGTGTTGGGTGCTATTACTTCTGCTCAACAGAGGCTGAAGCTGTATAATAAGGTTCCTCCCAATGGGCTGGTTCTTTATACAGGAACAATTGTTACTGAAGATGGCAAGGAAAAGAAGGTGACAATTGACTTTGAACCGTTCAGGCCTATAAATGCCTCTTTGTATCTATGTGATAACAAGTTTCACACAGAAGCTCTAAATGAACTTTTAGAATCTGATGATAAGTTTGGTTTTATTGTCATGGATGGAAATGGTACTCTCTTTGGGACATTAACTGGAAACACACGAGAGGTGCTACACAAGTTCACTGTTGACTTACCAAAGAAGCATGGAAGAGGAGGGCAGTCAGCTTTGCGTTTTGCCCGTCTTCGGATGGAAAAGCGGCATAACTATGTGAGAAAGACTGCAGAACTTGCCACACAGTTCTTCATCAACCCTGCCACCAGTCAGCCTAATGTTTCTGGACTCATACTTGCTGGTTCAGCTGACTTCAAGACTGAGCTGAGCCAGTCGGATATGTTTGATCCTCGCTTACAAGCAAAGATATTGAATGTCGTTGATGTCTCCTATGGGGGAGAAAATGGGTTCAATCAAGCTATCGAGCTGTCTGCAGAGATTCTATCTAATGTAAAGTTCATACAGGAGAAGCGCTTGATTGGCAAGTATTTTGAAGAAATCAGCCAGGATACGGGAAAGTATGTCTTTGGTGTAGATGACACATTGAAGGCTTTGGAAATGGGTGCTGTAGAAATCCTAATTGTGTGGGAAAATCTGGATATCACTAGGTATGTGCTGAAAAACATTGCAACTGGTGAGATTATCATAAAGCATTTGAACAAAGAGCAAGAAGCCAACCAGAGCAATTTTCGGGATACAGATACCTCTGTGGAGTTGGAAGTTCAGGATAAGATGCCGTTGCTTGAGTGGTTTGCAAATGAGTACAAGCGCTTTGGTTGCACACTTGAATTTGTAACCAACAAATCCCAAGAGGGGTCCCAGTTTTGCAGAGGATTCGGTGGGATTGGGGGCATCCTTCGCTACCAGCTTGACATAAGATCATTTGATGAGCTATCTGATGATGGCGAAGTATATGAGGATTCTGATTAAAACTGTTGGTGCTGCTGAGTGTGGGAGGCTTTAGCAAGTATGGCGTATCTTTGTTGCTGCTGCTACTGGGGATTGAAGTTTTGATTGCTTCATACTTTCAAAACTGCATCCAGGGGATAGGTTATTGTTTCCGGTAATATTTCTCTCTCACTTTCATCACCGTTCTGCCTTTATCATCTTTTGAAGCAATTGGGACCTGCTATGTATCGCGACTTCCTCACAGGTTTTACCATAGAAAACTGTGAGGTGGTCATGAGTTTATTCTGTGACCAGAGTGTATCTTTAATGGATGCTTGAAGTTGGCTCAATCAAAATACCCGTTGGTATTGGAACTTTCTGTCAGGTGTCTTTTTCTTTTTAGTTTTTCCCTATCTCATAATTATTTTGTGAAAATGAGAAATATTAGAACTATAAAGGATTAATTTTCCCTTTTCTTTTTAGTTTTTTCCTTTTTCCTAGCAAACATTTTGTCGAGTCAATTAATCTGTGATGGGGTTACCTTACATCTCGCCTAGGCTTTTGGCTCTACAAAATTGTGGCGATGTAACCTCACTACACGGTTTAAACTTTGTGTTTGTGGCACTGGCACTACCTTTTTAACATGAGAATTGGGAAGGATTACGAAATTCAGTAGGTCGAATGGATGCATTTTCCATGTTAGATGCCTTTGGGTCCAACCGCCCTCAGGAAGTCATGATTTGTTAACCACGAGTCAAACTTACCAAAAAGAAGAAACCATGATTCTACAACTTGATCCTCCTGATTCAATGCCCATGGGAGCTTTCATTCGCACCCAGTTTTCTACTCAACACACCCAAGGCTCTTAACTTTTTAACACTTTATGCTTATTATCTTAAATTTGCTTTTACTATTTCATTGATTTACAGCAATGCCCTTTGAAATTATGGTCAAATCTCATTTTGCCCCTTGAAACTTCAAATGACCCACTTTCCCCCCTCGACCAAGATTTGTTAACCCACTTTGCCCCATATTGTCAATTCCGTCAAAAAGTATGTTACCTTTGATGGCGTGGCAAGGGTGGTTTTGTAATTTAATACATGGGTCCTAGTTTTTTTTTAATGATGTGGACTACATGTGGGTAAAATAAATAGTAAAAAATTCTTCAATTTTTTTAAAAGTATATATAAAAAAAAGAAAAAGAAAAAAGCAAACCCACCCCCTAGCTGCCTCCCCATTCTCCCCTCCCTTCGCATATCAACCCTAAATCCAGCCCCCAGCCACCTTCCCACCAACCAAGCCCCACCTCGATCTCCCCCACCTCTTCTTTCTGATGCGTACCTCTTGATGCATGAGCATCCATCCTAGCAAAAAAGGGCTAAGTTTTAGCTATATTAAATTATTAAGTTCATTGTTTTCCTATTTTTACTAGGATTTAGTTTAATTTCCCATTTTGAGTTTAATTTCCTTTGTCAATTAGGGTTTCTTAATAAACTAGAAATAGGAATGCTAGGCTGATACTCTAGTATAAATAGGATATTAAGAGGCTATTGTATTAGTTTTTATCAATATAATTTCAGACTTTAGTAGGGTATACTGCCGAATTGCCCCCTGAACTTGTACATAACTCTCAATTTACCCCCTGACTTTTTTTTTTAGCCAATTACAGGCTCGAATTAAATTTTATTATCAATGTTCCCCCCACCGTCAAAATTCGAACATTTCATCCAATTTGCCGTTAAATATGAGGGCAAATTGGTCATTTCATATGTTAAAAATAATTAAATACTGTAAAATACAATAGTATGACATATAAAATGAAAAAAAAAAATCATTTTAATAAACAGAGGGTTGGGACCCACCCACCCTTTCTTCTTCCTCTCTGCCTCTCTCCCTACGACTCCCTCTCTCTCTGCAACTCTCTTCTCTCTGCAACCAAACACCAAACCCTTTCTTCCCTCTCTCCCTACGACTCCCTCTCTCTTTGCAACTCTCTCCTCTCTGCACCCAAACACAAAAACCAAACACCAAACCCTTTCTTCCCTCTCTCCCTACGACTCCCTCTCTCTTTGCAACTCTCTCCTCTCTGCACCCAAACACAAAAACCAAACACCAAACCCTTTCTTCCCTCTCTCCCTACGACTCCCTCTCTCTTTGCAACTCTCTCCTCTCTGCACCCAAACACAAAAACCAAACACCAAACCCTTTCTTCCCTCTCTCCCTACGACTCCCTCTCTCTTTGCAACTCTCTCCTCTCTGCACCCAAACACAAAAGCTGTGAGGAAAAAATCAAAGGGGAAAGGCGCGCGAATGGGTTTGCAGTGGTTATGGGTTCATTGGGGGGGGTGCCTGTGGGTGAAAAAAATCTGGGTTCGTTTGGGGGGTGGGTTTGTGGGTTCTGGGTTCATTGTGGGGTGGGTCTGTGATGGGGGATGGGGGGAGCTCGAATGGGAAAGGGAGGGGAAGAGAGAGAGAGAGAGAGAAAGATGAGCTTGAGAAACTGCTTTGGCAAGAAAAAAAAAAATTGTAGGATTTTGTTGCAGGTCAAGGGAGGATAGGTTGGAGAAGAAGACGCAGGGGGTGGGGTGGGTGGGTCCATAGGATTTTTTTTCTTTTTTTTCTTTAATTTTTTCAAAAAATATATATTTTCCTTTAATTTTTTTTTAAAAAATATTTTTTTTTAATGATTTGATGGATTATTAGATGAAATGTTAATGATTTAGACGGCAAGGGGAACATTGATAATAAAATTTAATTCGAGCCCTTAATTCACTAAAAAAAAAGGTCAGAGGGTAAATTGATAATTAGGTACAAGTTCAAGGGGCATTTCGGCATTATACCCGACTTTAGTATAAAGAGTTTTCTTTGGGAATTTTGCCCTAGAACTCAATTATCTTTGTTTCAACTTCAAATCTACAGCTTTATCTTTATATTCTCTGTATTTTTGGATTGTTTGGGTCGCTGGATAGCCACTGCCTTGCATCAAATTGGTATTAGAGCCTAGGTTAATCCTTGTTCCACACCCTGGTTGGACGTGCTCGAGGTCGTGGACGAGGGAACCAAGCCCAACACACAGAGATGGCTTAGATGTTGCGTATGATGGAAGACTTGTTGATAGTGGTGCAAGCCCTCTAATGACAGGAACACGTGGATGCCTATATGGAAATTTTGAAATGCAACTGCGAACCCTTACACATACCCGAAGGTTGTGGTGAGGATGAATATGACGGATGTTGACAACCCTTTTCATGAAGCTGGAACCCATGGTGATAGTCATTGAGGTGGATTGGAAGAGCGGTTGGTTCGTGCATTGGATTTGAATGGTGGAGGAATTAAAATTGAAGTAGCTGATTTTTATGGAAAGATGCATGCTGAAGATTATTTGGATTAGGAGGCAAGCCTAGAGAATTATTTTGAATGGAAGTCAATGATAGATGATTGCAAGGTGTTGTTTGTAAAGCTTAAATTGAAGAGTACCGCGCTTCAATGGTGGAGGAGAGTTGAAGAGCAACGTGTTCGACAAGGGAAGTAGAAAATCAACACATGGGAGCATATGAAAGCCAAGTTACGCAAGCAGTTTCTACCAACTGATTACATTATAGAGTTATATGAAAGGTTTCATAACTTAAAACAATGTGACATGTCTGTTGAAGAATATACGTCTGAGTTTGATAATCTCTCACTTCGAGTTTGTTTTAATGAGACTAATGAACAGATGAGATCTCGTTACCTCTATGCTTTGAACCAGGCTATTAGAGATGAGTTGGGTGTGGTTCGTTTGTTCAACCTTGAAGATGCTCGACAATATGCCTTAATGGCCAAGCGCCGATTATTGTGTCGTGGAGGAATGAGAGTTGTTTCTGGACGCCTATATAATTATTAGCAGAGAAATACAACAATTGTTTGAGGGGTTCGAAGCTACCAAGGAGCTCGTATTGATGTTGGCTCACCATTGATGCGAGAGGAAGTAAAGGAAACGGGTTGCAGCAGTAGGTGCAACAAAAGGGAGTTGCCAAATCGTGATGCAATTGTAGGGCGACCGGTTGTCAATTGCCAAATGACTAGTCTGTTTTTCCAGTGAGCATGCAATTTCTATGTGATCGGTCGTCAATTGCCAGACGACCGGTCGCCTCGTTAACAGTGACGCGCGTTGTTTTGGTGTGTTTGACTTGATTTTCCTATTATTTTGGGTTTTTCTAGCCTATTTTAATAGGATTTTAGTTTCATATTCCTAGTTAACTTGTAGCAAAAGTCCTATGCATTATAAATTGGACTTTTAGGGCTAGGTTAATTTAAGAAGAGAAGAGAAGATAGGAGAATTCAAGAGTGAATTTTCAATGGAAAAACATAAGACAGAATTCAAGGGTGAATTCTTGAGTGTTTACAAGGTCATCAAAGGGTTTGAGCAAGGGTGAGAGAAAAAAAAACTATGGTTCTTGTGAGAGCTAAGGGGGTTCAAGATTGTAAAGTTGTTCTTACATACTACTGAATTTCTCAGGTGGATTACAAAGAGTACATAGGCATGAGGTCAAATCTCTATAAATCTTTGTGTTCTTTTGTGTTTATTTTTCTCTTTTTGGTGTGCGTGTGTTTTATTCTCAAAAGGGTTTGTGTGTGTGTCGTCGCATAGTCTATTAATGACAAGATCTTGGAGTGTTTTAGCACAACAGCCTGAACTGGTGGTGGAAATATGGTAGGCGTTAATAGGAATGAAAAGGGGAAGGAACTTATCAAATTTGGGTCTTAAAACATTGCTGTTCCAAGCAATCCCGGGGGTGGCAGCATGTCCCAAGTGTGTTGTTACACATGTGGTGAGAATGGGCACATGACTTATGGTTGTAAAAAAAAAGGATGAATTTGATAACGTACGAAGATGAGGTAATTGATTTTCCTGAACCAACCTATGACAATTTTGGCAATGAAGAGGGTTATTGATCTATTACCGATTGAAAGAGAATCTTTGGTGGTCAGGCGAGTGATGACAACTTCCAAAATTGAGGAAAAAGATTGGCGTCATCATAATATATTTTGAACACGAGTGCTCTGTGGGGGAAATGTATGCAATGTGATTCTTGATGGAGGAAGTAGTGAAAAGCTATTCACTATTGAGTGTGATGCATCCCATGTGGGAATAAAGGCTGTTTTGAGTCAAGAAGGAAGGCCAGTGGAATTCTTTAGTGAGAAGTTGTCAAGTGCTAAATGTCGCTATTCTACCTATGATTTGGAATTTTATGCTTTAGTTCGTGCAATTCAACATTGGGAGCATTATCTCACTTATAAAGAATTCGTGGTTTATTCAGATCATCAAGCTTTAAGATACTTGAGCACTGAAAAGAAGGTGAATGCTCGACATGTCAAATGGAGTTCCTACCTTCAAGAATTCAACTTTTCT